GGGGGGGGGGGGCGGGCCGCGTTCCGGAGCCGGCGCCGGTGGTTCGTCCCGTCTCCATTAGGGATGGGGCGGAGGAAGGCCTTTATTGCCCGTCATGCCGCGCGCGCTGTAGGTAGCTCCCTCCGGTCGGGGCTGGGGGAGGGCGGGGGAGGCGGTTGGTGCCCAATCCAAGATGGCGGTGCAGGAATCAGCTGCTCAGCTCTCAATGACTTTGAAGGTGCAGGAGTATCCCACTCTCAAGGTGGGTGCCGAGCCTCCTCCTTCTCCCCCCGGCACGGAGAAGCGGGGTAAAGCTTCTCGCGTTCCCCCGGAGCAGCGCTGAGGTGGGGGACGAGGGCTTGGCGAGCCGGGCGCTCCGGCCCCCCTTCCTTCCTGCTTCTCGCCTCAGGAGCCCCTGAGGCCCCCGGGGCTGCGGGCTGGGGGTGGGGAAGGGTTCCCCCCACGCAGTTGCCCGCCCGTCCCCGTTTTCTTTCCCTTGACGTCTCGGCTTATGCCGCTACGGCTTCTCCTCTTCCCCTCCCCCTCCGCTGAGGGTGAGGGACGTGCCTGGAATATGCTGCTCTCCCCGGGTGTCTCCGTGCCCTGAGGTGAAGGGGGAGGCCCCCGGGCCACGCTGGGGACACAAAAAGGGTCGTTGAGAGCTGGAGGAGCTGGCCGAGGAGAGAGAGGAGTCAGGTTCTTGTGGCAAGGCGAAACTGTGGTCGTAGGGTGATGGGGAGGGAGGGGGTAGAGGGCTCGGACGGAGTCAGGCTGGGGGAGAGGGTTTAGGGGCGTGTGAGTGATGGCTCAGGAGCACCGAGGGTTGCTTTGAACGCTCATCCCGGATGATTAGCTGGATCTACGTGGCGTTGTTAGGAGACGTGTGAAAGGGGAGGGAGTGGAGGTGGTAGTAGAATATGGTTCCCTGGCTTCTTGGTCCCCCAAAGATGGAGATGAGCTTAAAATATAAAAAGGGACAAACGTACTGGAAAAGGATGGAGGCCTGTAGAGACGAATAAGCGAAATACTTACGGTTTGGTGAAAGCATGGAGTGTTCGTTAAGGTGCTGGGTCTATCAGAAGGTTGGTAGTTTCCCAAGGCTGCATAGCTGGTCTTTGGCTTTAACTAGGTATTGTAAAGCAAATGAAGGACTCGGTACTGAGCGTTAAGGTCATCGCCTCCAAGAACTGTTGAACTGGAAGGATGATGCTCTTAGGAATCAATGGAAACCTTTGTTTGAAGTCTTGTGTTGTATATACAGTAGGTCTACCACACTGATAGCAATAAAGGGAAGGCAGCTAGGAGAAGGATCTCTATTGCAAAATGCTTATTTAAACACCACTTATGTCAATGTATAAACATTTTTTTATCTAAAGAAGATGTTTATGCAAAGTAAACTTGCTTGTGCTAAGATCATGCTGCACTTTCACACACTCAGAACACTGTGTGTTCTTGGCAGTGTTTGTTCTGCAGTTTTTCTAGCCATGTTCTTCTTGTGCATGTTCTCCACTGTCCTAGCTTCTCCTTAGATCCAGCAAGTGGAAGGACAAAGCGTTGATTCCCATTTTACATATGAAGGCTTCTTTCTATCATCGTGAAGTACTTTAAAGCTGACAGCATCAAGCTTAAAATTTAAAATAGCTGTAAAGAACGCTCTAGCACTTTCCACAGCCAGACAGTGTGAAGGCATTTAAAGTTAAGAAGATCATTTTAAGACTGCATTTTAGATGTATTCCAGTTGTTATCACAGCTTTGCTTGTTACATTCCTGAAAAATTACTGGCAGTGAGGATCAGTGAGTGTTTTGCTACTAATGACTTAAGATGAATTGTCAAGGTGCCAGCCATTTAAAAGGTAGAGAATATTTTGGACTAATTCTTTTATTTCCATAAGCATTCTTTCTCCCTGAAGAATCTTAACAAAAATATACATAAGAGAATGGAATGTTGTTTGTAAAGTTGAGAAACTAAATAGTAAGAGGGTGAGACACCCTTACACTGAAACTCTTAATTTCCTAGCAAAGGTGATGTTTATTGATTCTTCCCAGCACCCATTCAACTTCTGGGTTGTTCCTGTAGTCTTTAATAGAATTTTTCATTGTTTAAAAAACCTGCCAGAATAGTGTCTGCTCAGATCTTTTGAATGTATCCTCTTAAATGTTCTTAGCTGTGAGTCATATATCAAAACATTTAGTGGTGGAGGTGAAAAAGCAGCAGGGGGAAATGAACACTAAGGCTGAAGTCTACTGAAGTAGGTAGATATAAAATCTTACTCTGTTCATTAGGAGGCAGTTGCCTACAAACTTCTGTGGGACTGAGACTGTGAATGTTTATTTCTAGGTTATTCAAACACTGTGTGAAATGAATGAGTATGGGTTTTATTTTGTTAATTTTGTCCACCAGTGCAGTAACTCAGATATTTCTCTTGGAGACTGGTGATTTTCTGGTGATTTTTCCCTGATGTGAGTAAAGTATAAAAGATTGTAGACTTGTATTTATATCCTTCCTGTTTCCTCGCTCTAGCTTCCTGATGCCAACATCACCAGATAATGGTTGTGTAATAGCTCTACAGTTACAGTATGTTCCACAGAGTGCCTTTCATGTGAAAGAGTGCTTAAAAGTGCAAAGAGAAATCCTTTTCCATAGCTAAATTGTGGTTACTGCAGGAGTGAAAATGCTTCAGCCATTCTTCCAACAGTTTAGCTGAATCCAGGGAAGCTATTTCAGTGTACAAAATAATACTTGAATATCCCCCCACACTCCAGTCCCTTCTCCCTTCTCAAGGACAAGAAGGTTGCCAGCTATTCTTCCTCCAAAGTGCTGTGGAATCTTTTTTTTTTATTAAAAAAAAAAAAAAGCCTACTGATAGAGAATTGTGCTAGTCTCATCTGAGAGCATGTAACATGAAAGCTCGCAATTTAACAACGAATGAATGTGAACATTGTTATCATAGTTCTCTGCTGAAACACTAATAAACAAGTGATGACAGGAAGCTAGATAATTCATCCGTATCTTTGGAAGTGTGAATAATTATTAAACTGAACTAACAAACTATATGGAGTAAGATCCTAAAACTGGAAGATGGAAGACCTGAAAGTGGGGATAATCACTTGTGAAAATATTCTTATTTGGGCTGTTTGTTGGCAACAGTTTAGGGTTATCTGGGCTGCTTTAAAAAACAGCTGGTCAAAAGGAGAGCTTCAGAAGCACAGAATACTTGAGCACCTTCTCAGAGCTTCTCTTCGGCTTCCTTTGTTGACAGCAGTGGCAGGGGAGATACCGGCAGCAGATTTAATAAGGCATTAATTTCTTATGGAAATACCATGTTTACCTGATTGCTAAAGAGGGGAACAGATAGGAGGATAGGATTGTGTGAAGCATATGTTGCTTGTATCCCGAGTCCACGGAATCACAAAATAGCTGAGGTTAGAAAGGACCTCTGTAGACAGTCGAGTCCAATGCCTCCCCTCAAAGCAGGGTCAGCTAGAGCAGGTTGCTCAGGGCCATGTCCAGACTGTTTTTGATTATCTCCAAGATGGAGACCAGCCTCTCTAGGCTGGTGTGTTTGACTGTTATTATGGACTTTAAAAAAAATCTTTTGTTTACATGGAATTTTCTGTATTTCAATTTGTGCCCACTGCCTATTGTCCTTTTGGCTGGACACTGCTGAGAGTAGTCTGGCTCCTTCTTATTTACTCCCCCCATCAGGTATTTATACACATGGATAAGACTTCCCCCAAGCCTTTTCTTCTCAAGTTAAACCATCCCAGTGCTTTCAGCCTCTCTTCATATGTCAGATGTTCCAGTCTGTTGCCATCTCAGTGTCCTGCTGTGCTCACTCCAGTATGTCCATGTCTCTTGTACTGGAGGCCCAGAACTGGACAGGGAACTTTGTATTGGTCTAACTCATGCTGAGTAGAGGGGAAGGATCACCTTCCTTGACCTGCTGGCAGTGTTCTTCCTAACACAACCCAGGATGCTGTTGGCCACCTTTGCTACAAAGGCTCATTGCTGTCTCATGGGCAGTCTGTCCACCAAGACTCCCAGGTTCTGTTCTGCAAAGCTCCTTTCCAAGCTGTTGGTCTCCAGAATGTACCGATGCATGTGATTGTTTCTTCCCAAATTTAGGACTTGGCATTGCTCTTTGTATTTCACAAGGTTATTCTTTGCCCATTTCTCCAGCCTGTTGAGGTCCCTATGAATGGCAACACAACCATCTGGCATATTAACAACTCCTTCCCATTTTGTATCGTTTGCAGGCTTTGGAGGTGCACTCTGACCTATTATCTAGGTCACTAATGAAGATGTCAAACAGTTCAGGTCAACTTTGTTTGCCGCTGAAGCAGAAAAGATGCAAGATTAAATTTTTGCATGATTGGTTGCAGTGCTTTATTTTTGCCCTGTTCATAAGCTTCACTAAATTGTTCTTTTTGAACATAGCTTTGTACTTGGTATTATCAGCCACAGGGTACTCTGAAAAAACTTTGAACATGTGAAAGCGGTTCAGGGATAACTTGAGGATGGAAGTAACAGAACTCGTAACATCTAATGCACTGTCAGTACATCAGCATACAAAAAAAAAAATTATATATGGCACTTGTAGATCGTTACCTGATTTGTAAAGTGCTCTATAAGTAGAAGGTTGACACAATAAGCTGAACATGGATATTAGTAAGTCAGCTCTATACTAACGTGGTGTGAACGCTCATATCTCACGCTAAATCAGTCTTCAGATTGGGTGCTCTGACTCACGGAGTGAGCGTGCATTGGAGGTCCATACCGAGCATTCGTGTGTTGCTGAATAATTCACTTCCTGTTTTGACACATTGTGTCCGCAAACAAGCATGGCATCTTTTGTACTGCTGCTGTTCTTCTGTGCTGGGCCTTGTGTGCTGCTGTGTTTTAAGGAAAATCCGATACTGGGGGACTTCAGAAGAAGTTTGACATTGGAAAGCAGCCAAAGTAGGAGTTGGCTCCTGTGGGAATTGGTCTCTTCCACCCCTGTCCACTCCCTATAAAACTTATTTAAAAGTGATTAATGAAGGAAGAAAACATGGTAAAAGGCAATAAGTAACAGTGTGGCCATGAGCTAGAGATGTTGCTTATCAGTACTCTATTGTGCCTGTAGGAAAATGCTTCCAAGAAAAATACTCTCAAACATTTTACAGAAGACCTCTTGTTAGTATCTTCAAAGTGAATACTTATCTGATGTTGCAATTCACAGTTGCAGCATAGTTGATTTGTAGTGTTTTCACAGGACAGTG